CCAGAGTGCTAAGCAGCGACATTTCTATTTCTCTAGATGGAAAGGGCATCAATTAACCTGATATTTGTGTACATGTTTAGTTTTCTGCTACCTACATTCTCTGAAATAATGTTATGTAAAACAGTTCTTATCTATTAAAATAATGTTCATCAATCTCACAAGTTTTAATGTGAGGTAAAGGGATAAAGTTAATTTCTGCTCCTCTTATAAATAAAGACCTTATTTCCAGGGTCACTTTTTATATAAAAAGTAAGATAGGGGTAACAGCATCAGAAAGTAGCCAGAGATGACAAGTTATGGAGTTTCCTATGATAGCCACTGATGCCTGGAATGCTCGAGAATTAGCTTAAAAGAGTTTTTAGCTCCTAATAATTCCAGTTAGTTGCTAATTAGCTGAGTGGATCAAAGCATCCATTGAAAGCAAAGTCAGAGATCTGAATGATTCCATACTTTCTGATTCATTGCTGTTTGTTCAGTTGCTATAATCCAAAGTATGTAACCCTGGACATGTCAACAATACATGCTCTTTGTAGTTGAGACTTCGTGGCTGTGACCATGCATCACTGTGCCTTGAGAAGCAACTTAGAATGTCAGTTTCTTGACTTTTTTGTAGACAAAGGCTCATCCTTTATTAACTTCCTTGGCATCATGAATTGTCCCTACCATCATACCAGTTAAAAAGTAGATTAGGAAATTGTTTAGAACTTAATTCAATGCTTCTTTTGTCAAACTTCTGCTATTGGAGACAGTAAACTCAAACTTGTTGAGCTTCAATTTCCATTAAAGTGAAAAAATAAATATTAACACCTACATTAGAAGGTTGTTGTAAAGGTATAAACTTTCACTTATAAATATGTCACGGGGGTATCATGTACAGCATGGTGACTATAGTTAATAATACTGTATAGCATATTTGAAAGTTTCTAAGAGAGTAAATCCCAAAAGTCCTCATCACAAAAAAAAAATTTTTAAACTATGTATGGGGACAGATGTTAATTACACTTATTGTGCATTCTGCAATACATACAAATATCAAATCATTATATGGTATAACTGAAGCTAATATAATGCATATTTCAATTATACCTCAAAGAAATAAGGGTTATTTTGACCATTATATGAGATGATGTATACAATATTCATACCACAGTGCCTGACAAAAGATGGGCAATCAGTAACTATTCACTGAATGAATATTTTCATCCAACTATACTCTGTTCAAAGAGAAGTGTAAAGGAAAGCCCCACAGAGAAACAAATGGTGTTAGGTATGAAATCAAGATGAATTTGTTTTATACAGCTGCCCTTTCAAGAGGCAGCCTGGTTCTATTCAAACCACAGGAGGAAAAAAGCAAAAAAACAAAACAAAAAACCTAGAGCAGTGCTGCTCAGATTTTATATACCTATGAATCACCAAAGAATTTTTTTAAATGCAAGTTATGACTCAGTGGGTGGGATCTGAGAGGCTGCATTTCTGGCAACCTCCAGGTGGTATATCTGCTGCCTGTTCACTGATTACACTTGAGCAAAGTCCTAGAGCACTTGAATGTGTGGCAATTTAAGAAATACTATACTTGCCCTGGCCGGGTAGCTCAATTGATTAGAAATGTCTTGATGCGCCAAGGTTGGGAGTTCAATCTCCGGTCAGAGCACATACAAGAAGCAACCAAGGGCCCTGGCTAGTTTGGCTCAGTGGTTAGAGTGTCAGCCTGCAGACCAAAGGGTCACAGCTTTAGTTCCCAGTCCAGGGCACATACCTGGGTTGCAGGTTCAATTCCTGACCCAGTTAGGGTCATGTGCAAGACAACCAATAAATATGTTTCTCTCACATTGATGTTTCTCTCTCTCTCCCTCTTTTCCTCCCACTCTAAAAAAAAATCAATGGAAAAATATCTTTGGGTGAGGATTAACAAAACAAACAAACAAACAAATGAAGAAGCAACCAATGAATGTATAAATAAGTGGAACAACAAATCAATCTCTCTCTAAAAATCAATGAATAAATAAAATACTGTATTTAAATCCATATTTGTCTAGCACAGCATTTTGTTTCCTGGCACAGCAGCTGAAAATTAATTAGTTCATGTAGTCATTTAGCAGAAGATCATTTAGTGTCTACTATGTGCCAGGCACTGTTTTAGGTTCAAAGTATAAAATAATGAACAAGACAGGTAAGGATTTTTTAATTGGGCTTTTAATCTAATGATATTATCAGACAGTAAGCATGTTAACAACTAATGAAAATAGTTTCTAGTGGTGATTAAAACTATAATGAAAATAAAGTTTCTGTGAGATTGTGTATGGTCAATTAAGGCTCCTCTAGGAAGGAGACAGGCGAACTGAAGCCTGAATGTTGAGAAGCCCCCTGCTGGGTCTAAAGATCTGAAATTTTCAAACAAAGTGAAGAGAGAATGCAAAGGCCCTGAGGCAGTATGGGATTGGTCTGTAGGAGGATAGGAAAAAGCTAGTGTGGCTAGAACAGAATACCCTTATTTGGAAAGACAATGTTGGGAGTAATCGGAGCTGTAAGCACACACAAGGTCACACCTGGCAAAATTGGGGGAGTGTAGTTAAGGCTGAAATCTAAGGAAATCTTAGGTTAAGTCTGAACAGCTCCACAGAGAGTTAAGGTTATTCTAGAAGGAATGTACCTACAGGAAACACACCTGGCCAAGCAGAAAAGATAAGTGGAAAAGAACTACCATGAGGAATGGAACACAGGTTAAAAAACAAAACAAAACAAAGTTCAAACTGTACATTCCTTAGGTTTACACTACAAGAAACAAAAATATACCATTTATGCCGTACAGATTAATCTAATAGCACACATGTAGCACATTCTCAGTTGCTGCAGAATAAATTAAATTTTTCTGAGTAGAAGTGATTAAGTAACTGTTAGAGAAAATATAAACTATAATGCCTGGTTGAATATAAGCTGTAGCTCCAAACTTGCCTTACTTTCCACAGAATATTAGAAATGAAAATGAAAGAGAGTCGCCGGAATAATAAAAGTTAGCAATGAAGGAAATAAGACATATGCAAGCCCCTCCTTGCACTAACAAAAACAGTCTAGTAGGAAAAATATTCATCATTATGTCAATTGTAAAATATTAAATGCCTTGTATTGAGTTTTGTACTCTACCTACATACCTATAAATCTATAATCTATCATATTGTTTTATTGGAATATAAGTCAAACCCCAAAGTCATTAAAAACAATTAAACCCTGGCCGGTTTGGATCAGCAGTTAGAGCAGCAGCCCGTGGACCGGAGAGTCCGGGGTTTGGTTCCCACTGAGGGGACGTACCTTGGTTGCAGTTTGTCCCCGGCCCCGGTTGGGGACAAACTGCCCCGGCCCACTTGATGTTTCTCTGTCTCTCTTCCTCCCTCCCCCCTGCTCTATCTGAAGATAAATGCAAAAATGTCCTCGGGTGAGGATAAAAAAAAAAAAAATTGAAAAGAAAACACAGAATTAAAAGAGATCCCACAGATCAGAGTAACTAAAGAAGAATGGGTGATAATGGCTGTCATTTTAGTAAGTCTTACCAGTGAGTATGCCTAATAATTTAAGGCTTGCAAACTAGTGGTTATTAATACATAAGTGCATTTCAATTGACCTCTGATTTTGTGTAATGATATAAGGCCCTGGAAACTAGTAGCTATTAACGTGTTAGAGCATTTCCAATTGACTTCTGATTTTCTGTCTTGTTTTTTACATCTATGAAGAAAGGGTTAGACGTTCAATCGGTGCCCCTAACCTTCCATCCGTGAGAAACAGCTTTGAGTTATTTTTCTAATAGTGAAGAGTGGCTTACTCAGTCACCATGCATCCCCTGAATGCCTGTTGCCCCGAGGCACATATTTGTGATCTATGCATCCAGAATTATGGTTATATCCTGTGGCAAAATACCAGATTAATTTTTGCTTGTTTGTGTGTTATTTCACTTTGTTCCATTAACCTCATTAGCACCCTTCATTAACCGGCCAAGCCACGGAGTTCAGACTTTTTTATGCCTTATTCTTGTTATTTATTTATAATTTTTTCAGTTCTCTTTGGCATTTGTTAACAGCAACAGTATTTTCTTTCTCATTGGCCTTTTGTATATATCGTTGTGTTCATTCAACAAACACTAAATGCGTGCCAATCGCTAGAGCTTGAGGGCAAGGGAGGGAGGGGAGTGAGAGGAAGCTGGAAAGGGACACAGCAGCCAGGTCATTCAGCGTGCTGTAAACGTTCAAAATCTAGCCTCTATCTTAAAAGCAATAGGAACCCATTGAAGAGCTTTAAGCACTTAAGCAATACCATCTTACTTCTGCCATTTCCTTACTTGTCATTTTTCTCCTCCTCCTCCAATGGGACCACCTGAAACAGTGGTTTTATATTGTCGTCCCATCATTTCCATTTTCTGGCTATTTCCAACTAGTGAACTAATTTTTTTTTTTTTTTTAATGAAAGAAAAAGGTTGCCAATTGTACATAATTAAAATCTCTGTGAGACACAAGAGTGTTTGCAAATAGAGACACCTATGGGTTGGGTCATGAAAACATATGGTGCATGCTATGGATAGAGTCATTATTTATAAATAATGGCTCTGCTCCAATAATGAAATCGAGAGGGAAACATATTTCACTGGTGCTCCTTATTGTAAGCATAATATTTTAAGTATAAACATTACTTACTGGGAAAGTATCTACAGCATAAAAATACTGTCAACAATATGCTTGATCTACACACTTAAGCTCCATATAGTGAAAGATAGATAGATAGATAGATAGATAGATAGATAGATAGATAGATATCCTTAAATGAGGCATCTTTTATTATATGCATATGTATTTGCTGGTGTTCTTTTAACATCTGGCTGGTCACTCTTTTGGCTTTATTGTTACCTAAGAACAAAAGAGAAGTCACCTAATTTATCTTGGGGCCCATCTGGTTTCAATTGCTCATTTTACATTTATTTTAAAATGATAGATTGTTGGTGATGGTGTCTTTCCCAGGAGAAGAAGTTGACAGACAGCTGTGCAGAGATGCCATCTTCCCCATCCCCGTCGCCTGTTATGCCCCGTGCCCAAGGGACTGTGTGCTCAGCATGTGGTCTGCCTGGTCCTCCTGCTCACACACCTGCTCAGGGAAAACCACGGAAGGGAAACAGATCCGAGCGCGGTCCATTCTGGCCTATGCGGGTGAGGAAGGTAAGGTCACCAGCTTCTGAAGGCGCTTGACTTCCTTTCAGGCATGCATTTTCTTTGTCTTGCTTGGAAAAAATGAGTTCTAGAGAAATCGACTTCCCAAAATCCAGCAATCCAAGGAGATTTTATATGTGTTAACATACTGGGCAACATATTCCCCAAAATTAGCCCTGAAAACAGATCTTTAATAAAAGAAGAAAGACTTTGGGGAACTCACTTTGCCTTTTCTCCTACCTAATAATTCAAATTCTTTCCAGGTCAAAGCATTAAACTTGTTCAAAGGTCTGAAAATGGCTCCCAAGATTCCAGATGTCAGGTTTCACTGTTTTTTGTTTCTATTTCGGCAATTTTTTTCTCTTTGAAATCACACTCTACCTTCTCATAAATAAGCATATATGCTCAATAATAAACTTAATTTAAAAATAACACCAGCATGACGATTGCTTGACAGAAAATTACATGAGTTTGTAACCATTCAACTTTTCTGACCATCGGCTCTGAGATCCATGAGTCTTAGATGCAGACTGTGTTCACTTTTAAAATATGTTGCCCTTCACTCCCTACTGGGTGCATAACGCATGTTTATTATATTCATACCTCACTTGTGTTTGCTTCATTGTCACGAAATACAGGACTCTTCGTAATTGTCTCTCCAGCTTATATCCAAATGCTAATTTGGCCTCTGCATGACTTAGTGATACAGTGTCATACTTAATTTTGTCTTTCTGGAAAATAACACACGAGTAAGGAAATCATAAAAGTAAATCAACTTCTGTCACATTAAGGCATGTTCTGTCTCAAGAATACCTAAGTGTGTGTTATTTAAATATTATCAAGTTGAATGACTCCTCTCATTCACATGATAAATAATGATTTCTATTTGTAGTGAGCATGTGTTCATCTATGTGTACTCCCAAATACCTAATTTTGGAGAGTTTTCAGGTTGCCTATTTTATTTTTTTGTTTATAAAACATTTTAGTGATGGAAACCTTATAGTATTCTTATTTGATCAAATTTGCCCTCTGTGTATATAATATCTATGCAAAAATATAACTTCCTTGGCATTAAGTCATGAGAAAAAAAATATATTTAAAACAGTCAGCATATAGGAAAATTTTGAATTTTCTGTAGTATCCAAAACTTTTTTCCTGTCACCGTAATAAATATGTATCTATTTGCTACCAAAAAAAAAGTATGTGCAACCTAATAGAAAAGAAGTACCTTTTAGAGAGAAAATCATATTCTCTGTGTTGTCAGACAGTAACTCTAACCTTGTATAGATTATAGTCAGACTTCAAACTCTATCAGCTCAGATGATGTCTTGAACTTCATTAAAATTAGATCTGTGGTCACCCTGCTTCCTATAAATCCATTATACTCCGCAGACACTTGCTGTGTGACTAGTAATGAGTGACTTTTCGCCCTGCGAGTCACGTGACAGGGATTTTGCCTTGCTTGCAGAACTCACCAGATCATTATTTCTGTAGACATGATGCTTCACACTGAAAGGTCATGAAATGCTTTAAAGGCAGAAATTTATGGTTCCTCTTTGATATGTATCATCCACTTAGTTGGAAAGGGTGAGACTTCGATAATTTCCAATTAAGCCTAGTAGCTGCATCATGAGCAAGCTGTGCTGGGAAATCACAGATGTTTATATAGTAAACCATAAAGGCATGAATTCAAAACGTAACTGTGAGTGGAAACCAAAGAAGAGCCATGTCAGTGGGGAATCTGCTGCTATTTGTCTTGGGCAATAACAGTTTAAAAAACTGGTACAATTATATGAAATATTAATGAGGACTCTATCCTTCAAAAGTGTTTATTTAATACCTGTTATTTGCTGGACACTTACACATATTTTATTTTCCTCAAACAAGCCTTTTATAATTCTGAGATTTAAAAAAAAAATGATTTAGGAACTATATTTACAGGAAGCTTAAAATGTTTCCTGAAATTAGATAACCCTTCATAATTCTAAACAAAGATAGGTCTTTCGATTATTCCCCAAGAAGTAGTGTTTTAGATGCGTCATAAATGTTCCAAATCTTCTATAGATCAAAAAATTACTGTGATACCTAAAGGGAAAAGAACACATTAATTAAATTACATGTAGAGCTTTTAGACATAAAATTATATGAATTTCTGGTGAAATAACTTTTGGACAAATTCATGTGCTAAGTATTTATTCTGGATTTACAAAATAATTGAAGCAACCTATACTTTTGTATATTTCAGCCAGAAATTCACCATTAAACAGTATATGAAGATTCTTTAACCTCATATCAAGGACAGACTAAGTTTTGATGCAGTGACAGACAGCTCAGAAGTTTCGTAACTTAAAAGAACAATTATTCCTTCTTTGAGGGAATTTTGCTATGGTTTTGGGTAGCTCTACAAAGCAGTCTGTCTGCCACAACATGTCTCAGCATTGCACCTCCATATGAAGACCTACGTCATAATCCCCACACCAGTGGAAGAATATAGTTGGAGAATCTATCTGCATCCACATTAAATAGTCCACACAGAAGTGCTTTATGTCATTTCCACTGACGTCTCATTGTCAAAACAATTCATACAATCATAACTTCAAGTTGAACCTAATTTTAAGCAGAATGGAAGCAAATATAATCCTACCATATGCTAAAAAGAGAAAAGTGCTGGCTACTGACCTTATACCTTTCTATTTAGTCTTCTTATTGTGTATGTCTTCAGATGTCTGTCTATATCTACATCTACGTCTACGCCTACACCTATGTCTATGTCTGTCTATATCTATGTCCATAAATATATGATAAAATACTATTCCATATGGCCTTAACTCAGCAGATATACCAGGCCTCTCCATTATTAAAATGTTATAACTTTTATTCTGTTTGTTCGTATTGAACAAAGAATGATAAAATAACACTTCTTCCTCATATTATACTACTTTCTCCCCCCCCCCCCCTCCTTTCTAGGCTTTTCTTTCCATTCCTGAACAATTTCATCTAAAAAGCCATTAGGTGGAGCCAAGCAGTTGGGCATCCGTGCCAGAGGTGGGGCGGAGTGGGTGAGAAGGGCACCCCCTGTGGGGAGAAGGTGTCCTGACAGGAGCGTCCGAGATATACATTGTATGCTTAGCCATGGGAGACACAAGAATAGTGTAAGAGAATAGAAGCAGAAACCCAGCACAGGATGTCAGTCCAGTGTGGAGTGTTGGACCCAGGCAGGGTTTCTGTAATTGGGGTGGAGCCTGATGCCGCCTGTTGGAACATGGCCAGAGTAATGAAGATACCCTGTGGTACAGCAATGGAGATGGCAGAGAGAGATTGGGGGGGGGCGGGGGCACCAAATAAGTACATGTATTAAAAATAATAGGTGTCAGGTTTTTTGTTTGTTTTTTATCCTCACCCAAGGACATTACTTTTTGTTCAGGTAGAGTGGGAGGGAGAGAGAGGAAGAGAGAGAAAGAGAGAAACATCGACATGAAAGAGACACATCAAGTGGCTGCCTCCCGCATGACCAATCCAGAGCCGGGGACAAACTGCAACCGAGGTACATGCCCTTAGCGGGAACCAAACCCAGGTCTCTCTGGACTGCAGACCAACGCTCTAACTGCTGAGCCAAACTGGGCAGTGTCAGGTTTCTTATTGCTGGAGAAGGGAGTTACTGATATGTTAAGAAAGAAAACTGGAATAAACCCTGTTGTATTGTATTGGAATTGAAAGTTATCAATGTGAATTCATTGTGTTCAAGTCATTAGGATAGATATAGATATGCATAGAAATGTAAGTGTATTTAGTTCTATATAATATATAATCCACACATGTATTAGTTAGCTCTATCCACTGAAAGGACCCGGGGGCAGCAAGAATCCAGGAGAAATAAGCATCTACAATGCTCAGATCTTGGTTCTAATACCATTTTCCAAAAGAAAGTAACCAGGGCTCCTTGGAAAATTGGTTGATGCCAAAGATGGAATAGGAAATGGACAAGAAGTACCTGGAGGGTCTTGTACTAGAAAGAAAGGAAGAGGAAAACATGTCAAAAGTCACAGAAGGTAACTAGAAGGGTCTCCCACTGACCACATATGGCAACCATTTGAACGCCAAAAATAATGGTAATTAACAGATTACAACCCATTAGATAAAAATAGGAAACCATGGATCCATGCTTGATATAAATAAATAAAGGAATTGATTGACTGTCATGTGAAGAGCATTATATTTACAGTCTGAAGTATTTCCCTGATGGAGAAGTCTGGCATACACCACATTCATCCAGTGATCATAGTTTCCATCATGGGCAGTGCATTGAGCAAATAAAAGGCACGCGTGACTGGTGTGATGCCGTGAGAAAGTGATACCATTTCTGTGATATCCCTGTCTCAAATGCATATTGCAGGATCTAAACATGAGAACACATTGGGAAAATCCCAGAAGGAAAGACATTGTACAAAATAACTGGCCTTTAATCTTCAAAAGTCTCTAAATTATGGAAATTAAGGAAAGACTGTGGAACTATTTCAGATTAAAGGAGACTAAGAAAACATGGTATCTAAATGCAATACTTAGATGTGATTGTGAACTAGGTATTTTTGCTATAAAAGGGATATTTGAGGTCAGTGGCAAATCTCAGTGGGTTTGAGGATTAGATGGTAATAATGTATCAGTGTTAATTTCTTGATCTTGAATATTAAATGTGCTTATGTGTAGGAAAATATCCTTATTACAGGAAATACACACTAAAGTATTTAAGTAATGAGGCATAATTTCAACAACTTCTTCCAATTACCCAGAGAAAAAATTATTGATCACATACTTTTTGTTTTTCTGTAATTTTGAGATTGTTTCAAAGTTAAAGCACCAAAAATAATAAAATAAAAATTTGAATGTGATTTCTTTCCTTACAATTTTGAGTAACATTATATAACCTGTTTTCAGCAATACACAGAAATTGTTATAAAATGCTTCTTATGTTGAAGTGTTGTCATTTGGCTACAAATCACAAATGTAGCCAC